TTCCTCGGTCCTATGGCGGTACTCCGGAACCTACGAAATCTCGATTTGGGAAATATTTGGGACGATTGTGCCTTAAGTGGTGCGAAGGCGTGGCATCACTCGTTCTGCCTCTTCGTTCCTGATGTGGTGCAGCTTATCTGGACGTCTTCCTGTCGTTACTTGAGGGCTATGGCTGAAGCTGTGGTTGCCTCGATTGATCGTGTGGGCGAATATCTAACTGGTGTCTATCTCGTGATGCAACTGCTTATGTCTCTCATGTTCTACTTGCCACGCGTGCTGTATGAGGGCGTGGAGGGCGTACTATGCGGATGGATGGCCGTCGCATTTGTTTCGTTACTAGTTGACGTGGTGCTGGATTCTCGCTCGCTTGTCTCTATTAGAACGCGTCGGTGCTGACGCTGGGTTGCTATAGTCACGCTACGAGGTATAATTGGGCCTCGCAAGCAGGTGAGAGTCGATCGATCTGGCATTTCAACGGCTCAACAAGAGTGGACTAAGCTCGGGAATAAGAAAGAGCGCCGGGAAGGGAGAGAGAAGACCAGCCTCGACCTTTTGCGTGGCAGTCCGAGAAGTGGAACGTCGTCTGTGGAAAGAGATTCAAGCGGAGCTTCGATTGGAACGACACCTGTCGTTCCGGATTCGACGACCACCACTACCGTCGGACATGCTGAAGGGAACGAGGCTCGGCGAGTCAGTCGGGGAGAATTGTCACGGTCTACGGCTGGCAGAAGGGCTGGCTATTCTGGACGAGTGTTTCCGACAGTTAAGTGCACTGCAGAAGCTTGATGCCACGTCTGACTATCCCGACTCTACTACTCAGACGGCCTCGTTCCAAGTCTGACGTGGAACCAAGGAATCCAGACAGTGGGAGGATAGTGAAGCTGAGAGTGATGTCGGTCCGGAGGGGGACTATTAGGAGATACCTTCGTAGGTAGGAGAGCAGGTAGGGAAGCTCTCAGTCGTGATTTTCCTTCTTTCAACAGAAGTGCTCAAGAAACAGAAACAAGAAACAAGTTAATACATTTGCTTTACGTTTACGTCTAAGTTCCTACGTCGCCGGCTTACATAAGATACACGACCCCGACGAGAGAAGGAGACCGCGACATCAGGAATGTCGACAAAGAAACGGGCGAAGGAGAAGAAGGTGGCAAAGATGACGAGAACGTATTCAGTGAAGCTCCCGACGATTAAGAGAACATAATTAATTGATCTCTGCAAACTCGATGATGCCGTGGTAAAGCAAGTAGTCCAAACTAACAGCAACCGCTTGTTCGGAATGATTAAAAACATGGGAACAACATTGTTGGCATGAAAAAGGAGATGCTAAAACGCACAGGCAGCGCGTATCTCGCGTCACAGGATATTTACGCAAATTCGCTAAGTACTCGGGAGAAAAGTATTCATTTGGAATAACCTTGAGGCTCAAAAACAACCCGATTTGCGGGATCCTGGAAGAAATCGAAAGAAACATAACTACCTTTTCTCATTGGAGAAACAATTGCTACCCAATTGGTGCTCGAATCAACTTGAATGCACGTCGACGTCATTTTAGCGGCCCAGTGTGTTCTTAAAACTAGATGGTGTTCTCGACAGTATGCTATTTTCAAGCGTAGAATCCATTTCCTCGTTTGCCTATTATTGCCGTTTTTGGCCAGGTATTTGAATTGAACAGGGTGTGGATCCTGGTACGACTCTGGATAAAAATATCCAGAGAACTCTCATTCGAATTTAGTTCTGGAAATCATATACATGTATCCCGCTCTTTACGTAACGTGAATAATACTTCCTTCGATTTAGAATAAGGAATATCAGTGAAGTACAAAAATCGCGATTCGAAATGCAACCTCGAACGATTTCGCTCTACTTCGTAAAACCGAGGCTCTTATGTTCATTGGAAGACGCTAGAAACAAGTTGGTATGTCGATGCATTTCGGTATTTACGCCTTGACAGGAAGATGCCAACGCTGATCATTGATGTGGTGTTGCCGAAGACGAACAGCCTGACGTTCGTAAACCCCGAGGACTGGACGTGTTTGAAAATTGCGAGCTGTCCGTACTGGAAGGTGGCCGAGTCAATCTCCTGGACGAACCTCCCCGCTGGCAAGTTTGTCAGTTTCTACGAGACCACCACATGCCACGCTGGCGGTGAGCGTTATTATCTCTTCAAACGTGGTACTGGGGAACAAGAGTTTCGTCCTCCGCAAGCAATCCGGTCAATCATGGTTGGACACACCAACAATTACTATCGTCGACCTTCCGTTATTACAAATGCATGCCTCGATGACAAGGAGTACGCCACCGTCGACGAAGCGAATGAGACTGCTGCCAACTACTCGACCACAATCGACTGGAGCAGCGACGGATCAACTGCAGCTGGAGGTTTGTCTTTGAACTGGTTTGACGTTCTTCCCAATACGACGACGAATGAGCAAAGCAAGGCAATTACAACAGTTTAAGAAAAAAAAAACATGAACTTGTCATTTTTGCATAGCGTTAGCTCTAAAATTGCTTGATATATATTTTAAAAGAGCTCACTTCACGGATCGCGCTGGTACCATTACGACGCTGTTCGCACCTCGAGCACGTTCGATAAAGTTTGTCGATGAGCTTCTATCGAACATTGGCGATTCGACAGAACTGGATAGCATGAACTCGATAAATCACTAGACGCAGTCTGTTAGCATCGCCCTTATTCTCCATTTTACTCCCTTCGAGCTCCATCAAAACCGCAATGCTGCCGACACTGACAGTGAATCTCCAGGGCGACCAATACGCTCTCTACACGAGTCTTGTCGACTTTGTCTGCATGCAAATCAACAACTGCCCGCACTGGAAGTTCGCTACATCAGTCGCCTGGGAAGATCTTCCTACCAACAAGTTTGCGATTTTCTACGAGACGGAGACGTGTCAAACCGGTGGTAAGAATCACTATTACATTTCGGGTGTTGTAGAAAATGATGGCACGCACGCGTTCCAAACGCCGGCTGCAATTCGGTCCTACATGGTTGGAACCATCGACGACCACAAGCGTCGACCTTCACGCATCGTCAGCTCCTGTGTGGAGGAGCGCGCCAGTCTCCAAGATGCTGCCAGTACTCTGAATGGAGCGACGTCTAGCTCCTCCGACGAGATCAAGTGGAAGACCGACGACGCAGCTGCAGCTGGAGGTCTCTCCTCAAACTGGTCGCAACCTCTATGATGCTGTAGACTGCGTCACTACAGGTCTTCTTAGCATAACAGACCATGAAAAATTATGGCGAAGCTGTACAAGT